TCCATGCGACCGAGCCGTGGACCGGGGTAAGGCGAATCCTAGTGGGTTTTACTGTCAAGGGGTTTGAAGCTTCACCGCCCAAGCTCATCCAGGCGCTGCAGCAGGCCCAGTTTGCACTACCCGACATCGGTACTGCCGACATCTTCCGTGCCACATCGAGTGCACCCGACTTTCAGGTTGGCTTGGAGTTGTTTTCGGGTCTAGGTCGGCTTACCTCTCACCTTAGGGCCCACGGGTACCCAGGTTCGCTGGCTGTTGATGTCCTGCGTAGCTCGTCGGCAGCCTCTGTCGCGCACAGTCTGGATGTTGTGCATGCGGCACCCTTGATCTGCGAGTGGTTACAATCGCCCTATGTCGCGATTCTGCACATTGCTCCACCGTTCTTCGTCGAAGCTCCGCTGGCCATGGCCATAGCAGCGATTGTTGACACAGCAGTGGCATGCGGCCAGGTGGTTTCCTTTGAACTGCCGGGCACCAGCCCTTTTTGGTCCACACCCACAGGCCAGCGGGTGTGCCAGCATTGCCCGCATGTCGTTTCGTTCGACTTGTGTTGCTTCGGTGCCGATCCGGTGTCCACTCGCATTGCCAGCAACAGCACTTGCTTCCAGGCACTCAGTAGGCCGTGCAAATGCCATCATGCCAAGCTGCCACCCGAAACTTGCGATCGTGTCTATTCCTGGAACTTTGCTGTGCGTTTCGCTTCCTGTCTTAAGTCTTCTAATGCGGTGCGACCGGCACAGGACTTCAGTGCCAAAGCTGCGACTTTGTCCCAACCCAAGTCGTCCAAGTTCCCAGCCATGGTTTCCGAGCATCAACAAGTTGTGCTCACGCATGGCACAGCAGATTGGCCCATTCCGTGCATGGCTCGCTTGAAGAGTCCGCTCACTCTTCCACCATCCGTCACAAGTGAGCTTCGCACATTGCCGAGCGGCGCACAGTTGCTCAGGGTAACACCGTGCAATTCGGCTAAAGGGGGTGGGGATTCTGAGTTCGTGTCAGCTTGGGGGATACCTAGATCACCCGATGAGTTCGTCAAAGCTGCAGTAACTGCGGGACACCCTTGTCGAAACGATTTCATGTTGCCCCCACCTCTAGCTAGTGCAATCGATCGCAATGCTAGTGAGTCATCAGAATGTTTAGCTAGAAGCCGTGCGGTGTTCTTCAAGAAGTGGATTGCTAGAAGCAAAGAGTTGGAGGAATCGGAGGCCGCATTCAAGAAATCCATGGCGCCTCATGTTTCTCCTAGCCCCGAAGAAGCTTTTGCTGTGGAAGGAGTTGATGGAGGAATATGGTTACCCGGACAAAGAAGTGTTTGACGAGGTCACCCAAGGCATTTTGCTAACGGGTGCTACACCAATCACCGGGGCCTTCCCTCCTGTCTTCAAACCCCCCACGAGGTCAGCTTGGGATCTTTGCGAGTGGGGACCGTCGCTGCGGGCGAAGATCCTCGATCGGGTTAGACCGCAGGGCGAGGAAGATGCCGTGGTACACGCGAAAACCGTTGAGGAGCGGAACAAGTCCTGGGCCAGGGGCCCGCTGTCGCGCGACGAGCTTGCTAGCGACTCCCTTGTCAGTAGGCGGTTTGG